TAGTAGTTAATTATGATCCTTGTTATAAAGATAAGAGCTTGATCTATGCTATTTTTTTTTTTTTTTTATCACTTTTTCTAAATGTAATAAAAAGAAATTTTTAAAAATAAATTCAAATCATAAAAGAGTTATGAATATTTTTCCATCAAAGTTATAAATCAAGAGAGAATGATTCTAGATAGAAGTGTGTCTATGAATCCAACTTGAATAAATCCATTAGGATATTAGAAGGGATGCAATTTTAGATAGAACTTGATTTGTTGTAAAAATCCTTGAAATTTTGATCTTATTCCATCAAACTTCTTAGGCATAATAATTCTTGTCCTTGTCATATTTATAAAAGTAAAAGTCCATAGGTTTGGTTGTGAGGTTGATGTATTTACTTCTTTCAATTGGACAACTTTTTGATATAGATTTCAATTTTTTTCATATGTATAGGATTAGTCTTTCCATGGTTGGTGTTAGTTATGCATAAAATTTCCATATTAAAAGTGTTACCAAGTTTGTAAAGATCTGCAATAGTTACAAATTTATTTTCACTTCTATCAAGTATAGCATTCATTATTTTTCCTTCCATTTAAAACAACTGAACAAATTTATAAGTCAAATTATAGAAAGATAATCCGTAATCTCTAATATCAAATAAAAATTTCTACATAGAGGAATAATCGGCTCTCTTTTAGGAAAAAAATAGTGTTAAAAACTAAATAATTTGTTTAAAAGTAGATAATCTACAACCTTCAAAATATAACAATAGAATTAGGGTAATTCACTCACTTCTAAAACATTACAAGAACAAGAAGTTAGTATTCTTGATAAACTATCAAAGACATGAATCTCAAAAAAAAAAATCTTCAATATACTCTTGTGTCATTCAAAAAGATTAGAAAATTACTCTAAGATAGTAATTTATTAAACTAAAATAGCTATTATCAAAGAAAAAAAGACTACAAAGTCTTAAAATAAGACTAAAAATTATAAAGGCATTGATAAGAATGAAGAAGGCTTTATTCTTGCCTTCATATATATTCTCTAACTAAAAACTACATGACAATGTTCAATAAAACCTCTAAAACATATTGACTTTGCAAGACATGTATCTTAACTTACAAGGCAAGTTTTCTATATGTGCACTACATAGTAAGCTTGTTCAATAAGCTACCAACATGTGTGACATGTGGTTAACTTCTTGACTAAGTTATTAATCTATTAATCAACTACAAATACATATAAAGTCAAAATTGTATCAATAAAACTTGTAGAAAGCTACCCTAGAAGATATTATGAAATCAATCTATATTTGTCTAGTTCTACCTAATTATATAAGTAATTATTGGAATAAATATGTATGTCTGTGATACAAAATAATAAATTAATTTTTTTTTGTTTGAAAATCATTTTTATAATATTAATTTAATGAAATATAGATACATGGTTTTTTTATTAAATATATTATTTTTAAAATGATATATATATATATATATATATATATATATATATATATATATGATAATTTTATTTTAAAATTTGAATAAAATTTAAATAGTAATTTTTAAAATATTAATATTAGAAATAAAAAATATACTAAAGATAACCAATTTAAAATTATAAAAATAAAAAAAAATGAATAAATTTTAATAGACAATATTTTTTTAATTAAATATATATTATATCAATTGACTTTTAACTTTTATTTATGAAAGTTAATACTTCCTATATATCATAAAAAATTAATTTTAGGCTACAAGTGCACTTTATATTGCTACATACATAATTCATATTACTACATGCAAAAATAAAAATAAAAATAGAGGTCTCTATTAAGTTGGTTGTTGTTATGTGGATCTTATTACCTACCAAAACTATAAAAAGATTAAGGAAGGTGCAATGCTTCCTTGTGGTGGTCTTATTGATATGTCAAAAGATGAGATTAAGAAGCAACATTCCTTGCAAGGATTTTTAGAAGTAAAAACTCCAAAAGAAAAAAATAGAATTTAATCTTTATATCAATCATTGTTATTTGCAAATGTTGAACATTACTACACGTACTCGATTTAAGATCAAAGCTATACTTGATTTCTACTAAGCTTTTGTGGTATTGGAATTAACATTGTTAAATGCATCCACTTGTTGTGCTTGCATCATTCTTCTTTTTGATAAAAAATGATGAATTTCTTGATAATAAATTATTTATTTATTGATATTTACATGACTTTAATCAATTCCTTGATTTGCATTGAAATATGATGCTTCATTTCTATCTTATGTCTATTTATTAATACATCCCAGAATTACTCTAAGAAAAGATTTTATATTCTAAGAATTTTCTTTGACTTATATCCAACACTTAAAAGAAATATAAGAGCTTTGCTAAATTAGTGAAATCTTTATTGCCATACTTAGAATGATCATGCAACTATACAATATTAGGTGTTTCATGGTATAAAATCCTATTAATTTTTTGAGAAGCTTATTATTCTTCTTTAGACAAACTTATTTGTAATTCACCAACCTTCACAAGTATTAACATAACTTGAATTTCGTCTTTTGAATTAAGCTCAATTATTTTAAAATTGAATTATAATACTAAGATTGAAAAAAAATCTTCTACTCAATTGCACCACAAATAATTAGTTTAAGAAATTTTGATTATTTATCAAACATCACATATGTCTAAAATAAGGTCTATTCATAAAAATACATATATATATATATATATATATATATATATATATATATATTACAATATTTTTTTAAAAAATATATTATATTTTATAATTTATAATATTTTATAAATTATAGTTTTAAGCATCTACAAGTTTATAGGAAAAGAAATCATTCCAAAAATTCCATTTTTTTTCCAATTAATAAGAATGTTAATACCACCTATATTTAAAAGTTACTTCAAGAATTTTTTTAATAACCTACTAATTATTGCAATAGTCTCATATATAACTCTATCTCCCAAATCTTGTAGAATAATATCTATCTTTGGACAAAACAATATCAAAATATATATAGCAATAGTAATGTTTCATATCATATATTTTTTTTTTTTTTTTTTTTTTTATATAATGTCATTTACCTTTTGCCATATTAATGTTGAAATACTAACAAGAGAATTTTGAATTTTAACTTTGTTTTGATGTTGCTAATTCAAATTGTGGGTACTTTAGATTTGTTTGCTAATGTCCAATATCACCTCTTACATTGTAGGATATTGTCAAAGTTTTGTATTAAGATATTCAAATCTAGATAAATTTCTTCTTGTATCATTCTTCTATGGTAGATGCCTTTCTGTCTATACCAACTATGGTTTATCAATAAGTTGTAGCTATTATTATAATATAATTTAGAATTTTACAAGTGCAAGCATGTATTGATGTAGTAGAAGATTGTTAATGGATGCAAAAGCTCGTTCTATTGTGCTATGTAAAAAACTAAGAACATTCTTGAAATAAAATCGAACTATTATTAGCTTTAATAGGTATCAATGGCAATCAAAGTTGCTAAGATTGAAGCATTATTCTTCATATGGCACGATTTGAATTTAATGTAAGCATAATAGATCAAATATTGTTATAAAGATTCCTTTGTAGAATTCAATATTATCTACAATATGCAAATGTGTAAATTTAACATGTTCATGGATCTTTTTCAATGCATAATGAAAGATTAGGTAGTTGACATCTTAAAAGATCTCACCGCAAGGAATTGGATTAGAAAATGTTAATTCAAATATCTTTTCATGAGAAAATTTTGCTATATATTTCTTAAAAATATTCTTAATACAAAGCTTTATGTACTAATACATGCAAATTAAATCTAATTTATTTGATCCAAGATATTTTTTGACTGCATCATACATGTTCTTCGCTATGAAGATCATTGAGTTGCCAAAGTAATAAATCTTATTTTTTCAAGTGGCAAAAAACATCTTCTTATGTATATCAATCTACATATTTTTAATTTAAGTAATTATCTTGGAAAAATTGTTATTCCATATCTCTACAAGGATATTCTACTATACTATGAATTCTTCTTTACATGATGCAAATATTATTAAGTGTACACCTTAAAAAAAAAAAAAAAAAAAGTGATATTATTCATTTATAAAGTATAGCTTGCAATTTTTTATGATCTTTTGGTCAATATGTTAAGAACACAAAAGAATGGTTGTAAATAAAAAGATTTCTTTGATTATATTGATTAATGCTTATTTACAATCCACAATAAAAATAATAGACAAAGGTACTTCAAAAACCAATTTTTTGATCCATTCAAGCACAATCTAATAAGATCCAACTTACATCAAGACCTTGAAGACAAGAATCACCATATAAAAATGAATAAAAGTTGTACATCTAACAATATGTAAAGACAATATCTAATTCTTATTGGTCTTATAGGTAGAGTCAATCAATAATAAATTATGATTCATGTAAATAAGGTTGATTGAAATAAAATAAGATGGATTATTATTCCACCATTTATTGTTTTGTGTACTATTCAATAGCCATGGCAAGTAAAGTCATCAAGTAAGGCTTTGAATGATGTACATCTATGAAACAATGTCTTGATAAATCCTTGATGTTTATTATAGATTGTCTTTTGTACAATATAAAATCTTATATCTTAGTAATGCATTGCTACCAAAACCTCTTTTTGGCAAACATTTGCAAGCAACAAATTGTCAATACATGCACTTCCAACCATTATTAGCTTCCAATACAAAACATGCTTAGAAAGAACAAATGACAATTTATGGTTGTGCTCAATATGACCTTGAAGTGCTAGCAAACCTCTCCATTGTCCAATTAATCAACAATCTTAACTGAGCAATTGTTTTTTGAGTTGACTTATCTAGCTTTTGCAAAGGCTTAGAAACAATGCTTGTGTAGTAACAAATGATTCGAGCACATATCCTCAGTTTACTTGCTATGAACGATATCAATGACAAACCAGGCAAAGCACATTTTGGAGGCATCACGACATGTCGATTTCGTCATTTTGCAACACATTAGTCAGCAATAATATCCACTGGAATCATCCTCAAAAACTATCTGGACCTCCGGCATGGAAGTTCAGATGCTGCAAAGCGTGACAATCTTGTTGTATTCGTTCCTTTCGACATCTGCTCTTACATAAAAAACTGGCAATTGAAGCATACACCAAGCTAAACTAGATGTAGACATTCACAACAAGAATCGGCGTTCGTCTCTTAGTGGGTGCTGATCAGACTCCCCGGTTCCTGTAAAGTTGTCAGTGTGATCAGTCTGAGCCACGGATCTTCCAGCATCGCCGAAGATGCAATACCAGACAGGCTTTTACATTCGATTCCGCTCAACTTTCAGGCCCAGCTATACCTTTCTATCCAACTCGTACAGTATACTACTTGAATGGGAAAAAGAAAAAGAAGAAAATTAAAGCTGCACCAGTCTCCTGTGGTGATTATTGCGGTGATTTCGACTGTGAGGTTGAGGGATTGTTGGACTGGGGCTGGATCTCTAGGAACTTCACTCCGTCTATGGGGACCTGTTTTTCTACGCAATGTGCTCTATATTCATGTACAGTGAACGGCCGATACTTGAGAGGCCGGTCTTTGGTGACGAGTTGGGGTGGCACGCACAGCGGTATCACGTTGTCAATGCCGTAGAAGTAGATGGTTGCGTACCGGGACCTGGTGGCGTTCACGGCCACTCGATGGCCTGCGCTGTGCAGTATGCCGTTAGTTATTACCTGCAGAAAAGGCAAAAAGACAAAAAGAAAAAAAGAAGTAAGAAGTAAAACATACGATAAAGTTGTGGATTAACGAGGAGATTTCGGAGAGAAAGGGCTGCTGAAATAGAAATGGTATCTACGTTCTGAGCCGAGTGCTGGTTTAGGGAGTTTACCTGGAAAGTATCACCCAAATTGCACACTAAGGTGGAGTCGTCGGGACGGATACCGATCCACTTGCCATCCTTGAGCACCTGCAGGCCTCCGACATCGTCCTGGTAGAGGATTGACAGCATCTGAGGGTCTGTGTGACCTGGGATGCCGAACACTTTAGACGGGTCAGGACATGCAGGGTAGTGGTTCACACGCGCATTGCAAATAGCGTTTTCCGTTTCCAGTTTGGTGTAGGTGTCGCGGGGTAGGCTGAGGCCTTCAGTTAGGCATTCTACGATCAGGCGTGATAAGTATCGCATGGTGTCGAAGTAACTGGTCAGGTCAGATCTGCACGGTTGTATCCGTGAATACCAATCAGAGGATTTTCGAAGATAAGACTCACGTGATGCCAAAGAACCCGCAATTTGAAAACTAAGAACATGGGAGGAGGGAAAGCAGTGCTCACATGAATTCTTCAGCAAAGTCTTTGTCATCAGACCACACTAGATTCACCATGTCCCTTATTGCCTGGTAGTTAACCTGCATTACATCATAGACAAGGTAGATCGCGCAATCAGAAACGGCACTGTAAGCTTCGGATATCTGCGCGTATTAAAACCAAAATGGCATTCATCATCTGATAGCTTGACACTTACTTTCATGTGCAGTCCCTCCAGCCACCATTTATACCGCCAGGAGACTGGGGATCCCCCAACGTACCCGAAAGCAAAGTTGATGGCCTTCACCATCAATTTCTTCTCCATGGGCAACGCAAAAAAATTCTTCACATTACTCTCCACTTTCTTTACCTGCAAGACAAACTACAGTTACAACAGCAACAACTGCCAAATGTCTTCTAGGTTTGTGTCTGTGAAGTATGTTACAATGGGATCGACACAACTACCTCATTCATCGTGCCGATGGTCCATCACAGTAAACCTGCGTTCTACAGCTTAACATCCCCTACAGATGCTCTTGTCACCCATTAAAGAAGGTAGGTCAAGGGTACTAGAATTCATGATCTACGATAGGATAAGCGGTGATCTTCTTAGGCAGCCGCTATGTTTACGTGGCTTACTTTGATACTTGGTCCAAGAAGTAAAACCAAGCATAATGATCTGCACTGTTCTCGGAAGTATTTTGACCGATTGTGAGCGCGTCCGGAGCGGTGGCGTTCTAAAATTGGTTCACTCCCAACCCAGCACTCTCTATGATTGTTCACGTGTCTTTGAAATGAAATCTACATAAATGGAATCCCGCTTTGGCTCGCTGTAATTGATACCAGATTGCGTTACTACCAGTCATAGGAAATCGCACTGCTGCTGACTGTCAGCAAATTGTAATCCAAATCCGTCGACTAAAACGTTAATGTTTATCTCTCTATGTCTCAACTACCACGCGAAAACCTGTGATAATCTCTACTATCAAGTGCTAGAATTCATAAGGCGAATGAAGCAGCCTGTAGTGTTTAACTAAACCTCCCAGCAGGCAGCTTGTGATCGATCTAATTATGGCCCGACGTTGCTATATCTAGAAAGCCTAGATAAACCAGGACGTAATTTACGAAACTCTAGTACATGGACTGTGAAGAGTGTACCACTTCGAGAGGCACTCCGTGGTTGCGGATCTTGAAGAAACCCCATGTCTTCGCCGCATCCAGCATCGCGGCCATGTTCTCATCCCGAATCTTTTTGTCCGTACCTAAAAGCGCGCTGATGTCGATCACAGGTAAGGCCTCGTCATGCTCAAAGACATCGTGAGGTAATGTGAGTTTCTCCTCCCCTTTCACCTCGAAATCCTTCAACGACATCTTCCCGTCCCACAAAGCTTGCATTGAGTAAAGGGGAATCTCAGGTTTCTTCTGCACCTCATCCTCGGAATCTTCTTCTCCTTGACTCACCTCCCCAGTCGACGCCATAGCTAATACCTACACTGCCAAAACAGTTTCCCAGGTCGAGCCGCTTTTCCTACTCGAGAAGGTCCATTCCTACCCCACACAAACACAGCAGGTCCTGAACCACGACGAAAGCCCTTTCCAGTGAAGGAATTGACGTGCAAAGATGCTCGCGACCGCCTCGCGGCAGCAGCAGCACCAGCACTTCCGAGGTCACAAGAGAAGCAGAAAGGTTGACGATCCGCGACCTACTGGAACTACAAAACCAAACTTTCCGTCATGAAAGCTTCAGGGATATAAAGCTTTCAACCGCACAAATAGGACCCAAGCGGCACATGGGGCAAGGTGAATCGAGCAACGAGTCCGGCAGGTTAGGCCACTGCAAAGCAGCGGAAAGAGAGTGGCTGTAAGCGGTTATCCAGCTTCCAAACTCACCAGAGGTAGTTACACCAGCGACAGGACTTTTGTCTTACACGAGAAAAGACGACAAATCCGATCCCACCAACCGTGCAACCGTATGGCTTATCCGGCAGAAACGACAAGCGTGGATTGCACAAGAGCCTAGCGTAGATCCCAGCGGAGGCAAGAGGGTGCTGACCGCTGACTTCCCCGAAATATCCAACATTCTTTCTTTGAGCTTCTCGGTTACGCTTCTCTCACGCCAGCATGGTATTCCATGCCCTCCAAGCCTCCAAGCCGCCACACGCCTCCTAATAACGGTCACGATGGAATCATGCAACGAAATCCTCCTCCACACTGGCTCACCCCTTCATGGAAGCTCCAGAGAGCGATTTTTCTTATCTGCAACAAAAAAAAACAACTCACACAAGAACATCCCCCCCCTTCCACAATATTTCACAAACTGGGCTCCAGTAATCATTAAGCACAGTGATTTGGAATCATGTACTTATTCAGAAATATCAATATATTTTTAGAAGTGTGACGTAGATTCGTCTTTGTTTTTTGAACTGATGGGGACGAGATAACATGTTGAACCTCAACGAAGAACATTGTTGAATTATGCTTGAGTGCATTCTTATTCTTGTTTTGTTTTGTTTTGCTTAAGTTTTGAAGACTGGATTTGTTTTATTTGCCGCAAATATATGGTCAACAAGAACAATATTTAAATGATTTCTTGTCCCCAAAACAAACACAGGCTAGATTTTAAAACAGTGTGTGTATAAATATATATATGTATATATATACAGATTTATTTATATATAATGGCCTTTAGCACCACTTGGTTCATTAATTTGCATCTCAAGATTTGGTATTTTCATTTTATCGAATTTTTAGCACTTCCAATAGAATGCTTTTGAATGAAATTGTTGTTGATTCTTATATGTTTACAAAGTGATGTTTTTTATGCTACCTTAATGGATACAAACCCTCAAGTTTGATATCATTATGGCTCACAAAATGATACATTTGATTTACAATAACACATGAACAAACAGCTTCCAAAAACATTACTTACTTGTGTGTAGCCTAAAAACATTCTTGAGCTTTTGGATACTTCAATACATAACTTGTGCCATTCTTTGCATCTGTAAAACATATTTATAGAACATGATAATTTTTTCATATGTGTAATATATCAATAATAATCTTTTTTATGTATCAGAATTTTTACATAATAACTTAGTATTTTTATCTTGTTTATTTTTTATTAATGATAGATATGGAGATGTTTTTGAGCATATTTTTTTTTTATCATTGTATAAGGTAAACATTTAAACTTTAAAAATTGAAGTTATTTTCTTATTAACTGAAATTCTAAATTTAGATAATATAACTTATGATTATATAAGCTAAACATTTAAACTTTGAAAATTAATTAATTTACTTATAAACTGGAAATCTAAATTCAGATAATACAAGTTACTTATTTTTAAAATAAAAAATAAAATATTATTGAAGTAAATTACTAAAAATTCCATAAATTAATAATAGAGAATAGATAAAAAGATGCTGATAATCTTAAAAATAAATTGTGCATGTTTATTTTATTTTATTTTTTCCCTTCGTGTCTAATTTTTTTTTTATTCTGTTATATTTTGACTCTTTTATCAAAGAGATTTTCTTTCACTTCTAAATTTCACTTTTAAATTTCACTATATATATTTTTTAATATATTAGTTTTGCAAATCAATTGATGAACTTTGCTTTTGTTGTTGCTGCTGTACCAGTATCTCTGCCTTTCAGGCTTCCTGGACCGTCTACAGTGACTCCTTGATTAGTTATTAGATGCTACTGGAGATCATGTGCGAATGTCCTTCTGCTTGGTTTGCCTATGCATCGGAGTGTGAATGCCTTGAAGGATAACTGGAGTGTTCTTTGACCGAGTAGAAGAAGTTATTACTTCCAGCACCACTTCTACACAGTTGTTGGATGACGTGACTGTGATCATATTGCTGAAGGTTTGAGCAAGATGATCATATCGACGGTTACTGCCAGTGAGAACAGGAAGTACTGTTGATTATTCAAAGCGTTTTGTCAAATACACCAATGATTAAACGTGCTGAAAATATACCAACGAAAATTCGTGTTGAATCTTGCAAGCAAAAGGACCTTGTGGGTACACCTTAGGTCCCTCAAAACTAGTCTGCACATCTTTGACCGTAGGTAAGCCCAGCTATTACCCAAAATCGCTGGATTCGGAATCCGTGGAACACTGTCAAATTTTTCACTTCAGTCAAGTTGCTGCTAAATTGCAGCCGTGTTCTTTGGTCATTTGGATTCTAGCAAGGACAAGCTGAGTTGAACGCTGAAGTGCCACCAATTGTCAAGACAAAACCCACAAGCAAGGTATATTTCTCATGGACCTGCGAATGTGGGTGCACAAACCCCCAAAGATGGACACCAGGCCGAGAAGAATGGAGGGGTGAAGCAAGACCACCACCAGCTAATTCCAGTTGCGCGAAGCCAACCAGGAGGTTTTTGGCTTCTTTAACCAAACAATTTTTCGAGGAATAAAGCCGTGGCTTCGGGATTGATCTCCAAGTGCTGAACAGCATTGATCGGGACTTCGTTGTCCACGATGTATTTTCTGTGTTCCCTGACCGTAAATGGGCGATACTTGAGAGGGCGGTCTTCGGTAATGAGCTTTGGCGGCACTGTGAGAGTGATGGAGTTGTCAATACCGTAAAAGTAGATAGTTGAGTACCGGTCCTTCTTCGCATTAACCACTGCTCGATGCGCTGCACTGCGAAGGATCCCATTCGTAATCGCCTGCATTAAAGCCATCATTGCTACGATGGTTTCTAATTCAACTGCAGAAACATACCAAATACTACAGCATCTGGTACAACAGAAACCAACGCAGAAGAAAAAACACAAAATACATGAAGCCTTGATGGGATTACCTGGAAGGTATCACCAATGTTGACAACGAAGGTGGAATCATCAGGCTGGATTCCCACCCACTCCCCATCCTTCAGTACTTGCAGTCCACCAGTATCATCTTGATGCAGAATTCCCAGCAACTGCGTGTCTGCGTGGGGAGGAATCCCCAGCACAGAGTCTGGATTGGGACAGACTGGGTAGTGGTTCATGCGTCCGGTGCAATTGGAGCCCGGCGTCTCAAGGCGGGTGAAGGTGTCACGCTCCAGGCCGAGGGCTTCGGTTAATTCCTCCACTATGAATCGAGAGAGCTCATGCATCGGGGAGAAGAATGCCTTCAAATCCTCCCTGCGTATCGCATCAAAAATGTGTTCAGTACTCAAGTACAGCACCTGAAACCAAAGGCGCGAGTTGTTTTCTAGAGCAGATCTGATCCAACTTGGTGAAAAAAGCTCACTTGAACCGTACGCCGAAATCTTTTTCGTCTGGAAACACTTGGCCGATCATGTCATCCAACGCCTCGTCCGTGACCTAAAATAGTTTGTGCACCCAATGAAAACCAAATAAATTAAAAGAGGAAAAAGAGTTTTCAAAATTTTCAGAAACTTCAGGAAGAAATCCATTGATCAGCAGTATCACGACAGTCATAAGCTCAGAAGACTGCGAAACTCTTTCCAAAACAACACGGTAATTGATAGCTAGCCATACGCATAAATCTCTAGATTTTCCCCCTACTGATATGAATGTGGACGTTGTGCACCTTGATCATTAGAGCTTCTAGCCACCATTTTGATTTCCAATTGACCGGAGAGCCGCCTGTGTAACCAAACACAAAATCTGGCGCTCGCACGGGAAGTTTCCTCTCCATGGGCAGCGCAAAAAATTGCTTTCCGTTTTTCTTCACTCGCTTCACCTGTTTGGTTCACCACCAGATTGTCAACATCTGTCAGATTGTATTTGAAACAATTTATGAACTACTTTCAACGCGCTTCTGAAAAAAGGTAGCCGCTTCATCACAAGCATGATCGGCCGTGACGAAGATGAGTTGCAGGTTACTTAGAACCACTTGCAAGGGGATTTCGTGATTGGAGATCTTGAAAAAACCCCACGATTTTGCTGCTTTCAGCATTTTGACCACGTTGGCACGCCGTTCTTCTGCCGTGCCGTCCTTAATCGCGGCGATGTCAACGACAGGGAGCGTATCGTCGAAGATATCGTGCGGGACAGTGGGCCGCTCCTGCTCCGATCTGGCAAAGTCCTCTACCTTCATCTTACCATCGAAAAAAGCTTGCATTGTGTAGACGGGGCTTGCGGCAGCTTGTTTCGTCGAGTCTAAATGTACATTCTGCTTTTCATGACTCCCGTCTTCGGGCTGTTTCTCGGCTCCCGCTGTCATCTTGGTACTACTCTGCTCGATCTCCTCCTCAAAAAGGTTCTAGCTGCAATTCTCCAATCGGCTTCGAGACTAACTCGATACAGAAGAGAACCTCCCCAGTCTGCGAGCAATGGTACGCAAGTTGCAAACTCAACATCAAAGAGAGAATTGCCTACAGCGTATCGATCTTCTCGCAACTACAAGTTTGCTCTACACAGATAAACTCTCGGCATCGGAGCGTTGCCATAAAAAGAAACGCCCTAATCGCGGCAGCCCAATCCACAGGACAGCCACTTCTCGAAACGAGGTCATAATTTGCTAGAGCGAGAGCGAGAGCAAGTCCAAATCCCCGACGACACCCGATTCCTACTTGGGATGAGTCGGTTATTCAGCCCGCAAAACCGCTTCCCAAAAGGAACTAATGATAAAGAAATGAACACGCAAACAGAAATCAAATCCCACTATGCTTTGGCATCCACCAAAACCGATGAGCTTACTAAACCGCACCACACCTCACCTCAATTGATCACCCCAAAACGCCAACCCTACTCCCCAGCCACCGTTTTGAAACCTCCACCACCACCGCCGCGCTTCAAGCAATCCACATCACAGCCAACCCTGTGAGAGAAGTTTTGTGCATGAATTCAACGATCAGGACGTCACCAGCGGAACCAGATACATCATCATCATCCTCACATCAGCAGCAACAGAGCCAAGCTCGCGTCATCACTGTACCCACAAGGCCACCGGATGCTGGACACTCTAGCAATTTTAGCACTGCTCACATTCGACGTGTCATTCACGAGCGACCTGAAGTCGTAAGTCGACCGTCGGTGATACCACCAGGCGGATCAAGCGGCAGATAACCCGAGGTGTGGAACAAGATGGAATTCTCTCCGCAGGGGTAAAATGGGCTCTCGTCTAATTGCGTCGCGGAGGGAGGAATGGAGGGCGGTTCCAACCGATCGTGTGTCTGGCCGACTGAGACAAAGGGCCTCGCTCGCGGTTGCACCCGCCACCGTAGCTCTTTATTAACTTGCTTATTATGTTTATGAGAACAACTCAGCCTGGCCCTCAAGCTAAAGTTCCGCGCATCGTCGCTCGCGCCGCGATGCGTGGCAGGCTCGCGACAAGCCTTCGTCGCATTCTTGCAGGATACGACACCTCCGTGCAAGGGGCAGATCCAAAATAGTATAAATTGTTTATTTCGAGCAGGGCTACTCACATCTGTCACCCGGCCCGACCGGACCCAGAAACGGCGAAGCTTCCTCTTTGGAGTATGCGGGCAGACGACGACAAATAATAATATAAATTTGTGTGTTTCAATGCTGGAATGACAGATTCCAAGTAATTCCTTCCATTGTAGTAGTAGTGATGGTGGTCCACCCCCTCCTATTGAATCAAAGCACAGAGCAAGCTCTCATTTCCAGCTTTCATATTATATTCTATGTATGTATGTATATATATATATATATATATATAAATATAATTAGTTAAAATTATTAGTTTGTTTGGGTTTCCTTCTGCCATTGTGGCAAAATTAGGGTTCTGAAGTTGGATTTTCTATTTGAGTGGGAAAAAGGCGCACTTGTCACTGCGTTTGACTTTTTGGATACCCACTACTGGTGGTCGTACACAGCCCTTGATGAAGCATTTTATTGTTCTCTTAACCAACCTGAATTTTTTGTTTTTTTGTGAATGATGAAGAAAGTGAAATTAATATTAAGGATGACAATGATGATGATAATAAGAATGCTTTAAATTCTAATTAAAACTACATAATTTGATTAAGAGTAATATTATTGTAAAAAGTTATTTTGTTATTGAAAGCATTAAATGTAGTCGGTACTCTTCATGCTATTTACTGTAGTCTAGAGTATTTGGAATGTAGTAGAGAGACACTGTTTATCTTCTCTCCTCCTCTTTGTATAAAGGAGATAATCCTATCAATAAACTCACTTCTTGAGTGTGTGTGTGTATGTGTGTTTACATATGTGTGCATATTACTTCTAGCTACTATTGTCTCTCTTTCTCTAAAACATTCTCAATATAATATCAACATGATTGCTTTTATATTCTAGTCATAGTTTTTAGTTTTTAAAAACTTATGTAATTTTTTTCTTTTTTTTTCTTCTAAATATTTTTTTTCCCTTCTTGTGCTACTGTTCTTGCCATCAAGTGCCGCCAACTACTATTCACTGTCGCCAAATTGCAGCACCTTGCTCGTGAATTGTAGTGCTTTGACACATCCTGTTACAATCCATTGTAGATCTTTATTTTTGTTAAAAAAAAAAAAAAAAAAAAAAAAAATTAATATTTTTGATTTCAAGTTTTAACTTTATCATTCTATTTGGCTTTACATTCTAAGGTATATTTTATTTAACCTTTCTTACTTGAACTCATATTTTTTTGTTTATAGATTTATTTATAATGAGTACTTCAACATCCTCAACTGCCTCTAATATATTTCCAACTATTACCACTGCATTCCAATATTTTAAAGCTCTTCTATTTCCACCATTGGATGTTGATGGAAACAATTATTTATTATGAAAAGAAATGAAAAAAATAAATTTATTTACAGAACAACTATCTGCTATAATTTTGTTAGAAGAATCTCTTATTATAAGTACTTCAATTCCTATTGCCATCCATTAGAAAGAACTTCCTCTCCTTTACTGACATCTTATTCCAAAATCTAAGAAAAAATTATACAAACATGGAAAAAATGCTCATAAGCACAAGATCAATCATGGTCATGACCATTTCCGCCCATATGGAAAGAATAAACGTTCTACAACTAATTATAATGAAAAACAAAAATCAAAGATGTGACTTGCCATAAATGTGGAATGATTGGACATTTGGTATATGAATGCCATACTTTAAAATACTTTGTTAAAATGTTCCAAGAAAGTAAGAAACTTCAAGATGAGGCTTTTGAAGATCATACTATGCATGCATCCATGGATTCAATTGGTGTTGAAGATTTAGAGGCTTATATGAATGACAAAACTTCAAATGATGAATCAAATGATGCGCTCATTGATTCTATAATAATACATACTACCTTACAATATAGATAGTTTTTTTATTGAAAAATCTTCAACTTAACAAACTAAAAATTTGATGACTATAGCTAGAATAAATACATTTTGTTTCCAAGAGGGAATAACAATGGTAAAATTGTTCATGGGCTCTATCATAAAATGTAAACATACAATGTTTTTACTCTCATCACCTCAGAGTCTAATCAGCTATCGAGATATGCATGCCAATAGTTATCATCTGTCAACTACAATTCTAGATAGGCGAGAGGTTTTGGTTTTTAAACAAAACCATAAAGTTGTAGATTTTTTTTTTGTTGCAATAAATGGTTTATATCGGATTACAATCTAGCCTCCTATTGTATTTAATTTTACATCATAATAGTAAAGAATCATATTTTTCTTTGACATGGATGATTGGAACATCTAAGATCTATATTATTTTAGAAAATAATTCCATGTATAACTGGGCATGATTTTAGACCTACAAATATAGATTCTATGGAATTATGTTGTGCATGTATACAAGGCAAGATGATTGCTTGACATTCAATTTTGAAACTGTGACAAGAATTACCACCAATGCTTGAAAAGTTGCATAGTAAAATTTGTCATCCTATTAATCCAATATCTGGATCATTTTGTTATTTTTTGGTCTTTGTTAATGCATCAGGCAAATAATCACATGTTTTATTATTATCATTTTGAAGCATGATATTTGCTAATCTTATATCTATGCTTATTTGTTTTTGAGTACATTTTCCTCATTATCCTATCAAAACATTACATATGGATAATACAAAGGAATTTGCATCAAAGTCCTTTGAAGACTATTGTAGTGCAACAAGGATTGGGTTGACATATTGTGTTATATATGAATATGTTCAAAATGGACTTGCAGAGTTATTTATAAAGCATATACAACTTATTACCCGGCCACTCCTTCTTCATGCAAATTTACTTGCATTTATGTGGAATCATACAGTTTTGTATGTTATAGCATTAATATGCCTCCATACTTCTTCTCTTAAAATTATTACACCACAAGAGCTTATTTCAGGTCGTAATCCAAATATATCTCATCTAAGAATATTTAGTTATTGTACTTGGATTTCCATACCAAAACCTCAACAACATACCATTGGAGTTCATCGACGAGAAGGCATACATATTGGTTTTGATTCACCAAATATTATTTGTATAGTTGACCCATCAACTAGTATATTATTACATTATCATGATGTAAAACGGCTAATAAGTAAAAGAATGAAGAAAATATCATATTTTTGAAGATCTTATTTCAAATATATTACAACAAATTATCTTGGAAAAATAGATAATAGTCAAGGCATAGAAAAATTAAAGGTGCTAATATTTCTTTTTTGTAAAATAAGTTTCTATTTACTTTGTAGCACCACAAATAAAGCAAAATAAGGTAGATTAGAAAAATTAACAATATAGGCACTTTTAAAAAGAAGTTGAGAGTAGTTTTCAATAAAATTTATTTAGAAAAACTAAATATTGATATCCAAAGAGGCCCAGTTATGCACTAGGATTGAAATCAGATCCTGAGGCACAAAATTGAGCTCTAATGACGATTCTTAGATTCTTTGGCAAATTGAAGAATGAATTTAGAGAGAAAACTTGATAAAGTATCAAAAGGCATTAATTTGGAGTGATTTGGATTTATATTGACTTTGTAAGATCTTTGCAAATTTAGGATTTGTTTTGGGTGACTCTAGATTTGTGAAATAAAATAGGAGATACCTTTTGGAAAGTTTTCTAAGTTTGGCAATAGATATATAAGTGAAATTTTTAAGATTTGTGGGTTTATATGTGTTAAATATATGTTTTAAGTTTGAGCTTGATCGAAGGATTAAATCAAGGATTATTAAGATTTAAATAGGTCAAGATCTTAGAAAGTAGAGTTTTAAATCTACTAAGGGTTTCAAAGATTTCTTATAATCTATTAATTGGATTAGAATGAAAGTTACATATGTGATTAGTAGACTTATTTTCTTATATATGTAAGAAATTTGAAATCAATTAAATGGTTTAATAAGGAGATATTGACACTAAAAATTCAACATTCAGATTGGAGAAGGAGATCAGCCAACATCCGAGCAAATATTAGGATTGATCTTCTTTTTGGTGAGTTCGATCTTCTTCAAAAATTTTGTGCTTATTTTCAACTTAATTTTTAAGAGATGTGCAAAATTTGAATTAAAATCAATGGTTCATTCATTCGTTATTGAAGTTTAAATCTGTTATAGGAATTATTTGGAATTATTTAGGATTTGGTTAGGATATGTTTAGGGATTGGTTAGGATTTTTTAGAATTTCATTAGGATTTATTTAGGATTTGTTTAGGATTTGGTTAGGATTTATTTAGGATATGGTTATAATTTGTTTAGAGCTTGATTAAGATTTGGTTAGAACTTGTTTAGGATTTATTTAGGATATGGTTATAATTTGTTTAGAGCTTGATTAAGATTTGGTTAGAACTTTTTTAGGATTTATTTAGGATTTATTTAGGATTTGGTTAGGATTTGGTTAGGATTTGTTTAGGATTTGTTTAGAGTTTATTTAAGATCTGGTTAGGATTTTTTTAGGATTTGATTAGGATTTTTTTAAGATTTCATTAAGATTTGGTTAAGATTTGTTTAAGATTTTGTTAAGATTTATTTAGGATTTAATTGGGATTTATTTAGGATTTTTTTAGGATTTATTTAAGATTTGATTAGGATTTGATTAAGATTTTTGTAGGATTTGACTAGGATTTGATTAAGATTTTTTTAGGATTTGATTAGGATTTGGTTAAGATTTGTTAGGATTTGACTAAGGTTTATTTAGGATTTGATTAAGGTTTGACTAGGATTTGACTAAAATTTGATTAAATTTTGATTAAGATTTAATTAAGGTTTTTATTTTAATATTTTATGAAGTTTTTTATTTTAGTATATTTTTGAATTTC